ACCTCCAGTTTCGAGCGTGAATAAGACTGCACAACCGCCTCCAGTTTCGAGCGTGAATAAAACTGCACAACCGCCTCTAGTTTCAACTTTAATTTTGCTATTTGTTTTTCTTTTCATTAGGCTTGTATCTTTTCTTTTTTTTCTTTAGCTTTTCTTTTCATCAAGTATTGGTTTGCTGCAGTGGTTTTGACAGATTCTTTGAATTGCTATGTTAGATTTCTTAAGGCTGTTTTATTGTGCTGTTGTTGTTTATTCTTTCTTTGTTCTTGAAGTCTCTTGCTCCAACCTGTTTCTAATTTTGACTTTATTTCGGTAGCTTGTTTTGCTCTAGTATTTATTATCTCTCTTAGCCACTCAGCTATATCTAATTCATACATAATCTTGTTTATTTTCTTAATTATGATATAGATAGCTATATCTATACTATTTAGACTTGCTATACAATAGTATTAAAAGTTTTTTTTCTAAGTATAAGATCTAAATACTGGATTTCTTCTTTTCTGTATTGATATAATTTTTTGTATAAAGCTTCTATCTGTGTCTTTGCCTTTTCTACTATAATGAGTATTACACCTTTTGCTAAATTTTCTAGTATTTGTTCTATAATACTTGCTCTTTCTTTATCAGACACTTGTGCTAATTCTTGTTAAAAAAATGCTTGATAGTATTCCAAATTATTAGTTGAAAAATCAACTAATTGTCAACTTTTTAACTAGTCAATTTGAAAAAATTTTAAACAACTAATTGATTAATTATTCAACTAGTACAATTCTGAGCAATTTTATCTAGCTGGGCAGATTTATATTAATTTCTTTGATTTGATTGGCTAATCATCTGATGATACTATATGATATGAATAATTAATTAGTTACAACTATAGTTAACAACTAATCAATTAGTAAAATATTTATCAACTCAGAACACTAATGCTTAACTTTCTTTACTATTTCTTGATCATAGATTGACTGCTTTTTGTTTTTTAAGCTCTCTTCTATCGATTCTAACTAAGTATTTTACATGATTTGCTATTTTTTGATTGTTGTTAGTTTGCTTCATATGACTTGTTATTTTTTAGTTATTGTTGATTGTTGTTGTTTGTTGTGATTGTTTAGTACCATTGTTTACTTTCATCATATAGTTTTTGATATATTTTTTTTGTTTACTCTTTATTATGTATTGTGTTTCTTGTATCACCAAAACAGATCTATGATTCAGAATCAAGGCTGATTCCCCAAAATTTTCCAAAGTGCAAAAAAATATTAATGATTTTTTATGATTTCTTCCATTTTTTTGCCACTTTGACTCTTTTTACTCAAGTCTTCTAAAAGATTAAATATTTCTTGTAGTCTTCTTTCTTTTTATTTAGAATTTCGATTTAGGTTTCTTAAAAACTTTTGTGTATTTTTTGTGTTTCTTGTTAATTTTTGTTTTCCGAATTTTGTTTTGATGATTAGTGGAAAGAGTTGTACCTATTAATATATTTATTATCGTCTAATATCTCATGATATGATAGACAAAATTTAATGATTTTTATACTATTAGATTTGTCTTATCAAGACGAATCTAATGATATAAAAATCATCAAATTCTGGTTGCTAGATTATAAGATATCTTTGATTTAATAAAATAAAAAATTATAAATGTATAATGATTTTAATAATCTATTGGTCAATCATCACATGCAAAATATAGCCAATTGCAGTAAGCACTTAATTTCATAAAATTTATAATTTTATTAGATAGATTAACTTTGAGTCACAGATATCAATTTTAGAATTTTCATGTAATAATAATTATCCACTATGCTCAAATATATGAACACTTGATTATCTTAGCATGTTGATTAAAGACCAATGCCAATTTACATAATTGTTAAAACAATAATCATGTGGCATGATTATTGTTTCAACAATTACGTAAATTAATATCGGTCTTCAATCAACATACAAAGATAATCAAGTGTTTATGTGTTCACCAAAAAAAAAATTTATTTGCCATTTTCAACCATTTCAAGAACAGCAATAATTCTATAAATTTATAAAATTAAAATAAAAAATTTTATCAAATTTGGATAGCTAAAAGTTAAAAAAAATTTAACTATAGCTTTTTTTTATAGATATTTAAATTTTAAACAAAAATTACTCAACATTTATCTGATTAAATATGATCAAAATTTTTTGATTTTATTAATTATACAAATATATAAAATTAAAATAAAAAATTTTGATCAAATTTGATCAAGTAGATACTGAGTAATCTTCAAAGTTTAGACGTCTATAAAAAAGAAGCTGCAACTAAATTTTTTTTAACTTTAATGAATATTTTTCGACAATCAGTTATCCAAATTCGATAATTTTTTTTCTTATTTTAATTCTATGAACTCATAAAATTAAAATTCATTAAATTTTGATAGATAATTGTCGAGAAATCTTCAGTTAAAGTTCAAAAAAAAAAATTTTTTTTGATATTCTAAGGTTTTTTAAAACTTTTAGTGAGGATTTCTCGATAACTATTTAACCAATTTTAATAAGTTTTTTTTTATTTTAATTCTACAGACGCATATAATTAAAACAAAAAACTTTCACTGAATTTGATCGAGTAGTTATTGAGAAATTATCGCTAGAAGTTTTAAAAATGTTTCGAATTAATTAAAAGGAACATTTTTTATTGGCTATTTCCTTTTTAGGAGTTTGTATTACCGTCATAAATAAGTAAAGTTCACATGATATTAATTTAAATTTGATTGGTTAGTCTAATTGGTGTGATCGCTAACCCACCCGCACCCCTTACATAGCTACAAATTTATGGATATAGAATATATTCAACTATTAAATAGATACTAAGCTAATATATAATGTAAACTGGATATAAACCAAATTAAAATAGGATAACTGAATGTATATCTATTTATAGATCAAAAGAAAATATAAAATAGAATGTCTATTCGGATAATTGCTATTGAAAATATAGAATTTATTCAATTTCACTTTTAATCATCCCAATCATCGTCATCGTCATCTTCGTCTTCATCTAAATAAAATTCCAAAAAAATAGATTTATATATTGTTGAAAAACAAATATACATATGAAATAAATACTGACCAGAATCACCGTGGATTGCTGCTCCACGATTCAAAAGTGCATTTGCTAACGCCGAGGCAAGATCATTTCCGCCACCGGTTGGGCTCTGAGGCTCTTCTGATATAGTTGACTGACGAGTTGGCTCCCCAACCTAATAAAAAAAAAGTTTGGTTTAAGTGTATCAAACAAGATACGTATATATGATTCAAATTTTCAACACCCACAGGTTTAAGTCCAGCTTTAGAAGTACCACCCACATTACGAATTTCTGCTAGCAAATTAGCACGGCCATTCGTTATAGGTGGCACGGAAGTAGCATTGCTTATTGGAGGAGGAGGAGGAGGAGGGGGGGGCACCACCAGAAGTAGGTGGTGGCGGTGGACCTCTGGAAACAGGCGGTGGTGGCGGCGGAGGCGGAACACCATTCGAAGTAGACGGCAGAGGTGGGGGCGGTGGTGGCGGCGGCGCTGCAACTGATGTTGGTTGACGTGGTGGGACATGGGTTTGCACCCTGGCAGGCGGTAATGGTGGAGGTTCATTCTGTGTCGTCGGAGGACGAACAGGTGGTGGCGGTGGTGGTGGTGCAACCTGTACTGGAGGTGGCTGTACAGTTTTATGTACACTTGAACCTGAGGGTGGCGGCGGTGGCGGTGGAGGTGTAACTTGAACCGGAGGTGTCTGTACAGTTTTCTTTCCACTTGGAACGGATGGTTGCGGGGTTTTATTTGTACTTGAAATTGGTGTGGTTTTATTTACACTTGGAAACGGAGGCGGATGTACTGGTTTATTTATACTCGAAACTGGAGGCGGTTGTGCAGTTTTATTCACGCTCGAAACTGGAGGCGGTTGTGCAGTCTTATTCACGCTCGAAACTGGAGGTGGAGGCGGTGGCGGATGTGATGTTGCTTTAAGAGTTGTTGGAAAAATGACCTGCTTTGGAGATGATGGAGGACTAGAATGTTTTGAAGATCCGTTATTATTCGATTGATTGCTGACAACCGAGCGTCGAACTGGTGGTGGAGGTGGCGGTGATTTTGCCTTGGGTTTATCAGATATAGAGGATCCAGGACGTCGACTTGGTGGAGGTGGTGGTGTTCTTTTTGTAACACCGGATGCTGATTTGCCGGTTGTCGTTTTGGCAGGTTTACTTGCTTTTTTAATTCCACCATTTTCATCAACATATTGCATAATAAAATCGGCATTTTGCGTAATTAATTCCTAACAAAAAGATTTATAAATATATAAGTAAAACTGTTTAGGAGATACGCTAAAACCTTTCAGTATTTTACATTGGTCATCTGATTCTTAATTTATCAAATCAAATCATAACACTACAAGGATTTAGCGCATCTCTGCATTAGGATAAGGCATCGGTGACTAATTGAATATAGTATATTCACCTGACTGATACCCAGTTCACCAAGTTGATCGAATAGATTTTTCCATGAAGGATCGATGTTTTGTACCTATGGAAATCAAGATTTAGTCGTTATTTTGTTTCATTCGCAAATTATCGAATAAAAACTATACGCACATCAAACCCTGTATCAGGATTAAAACCTATATGTCCGAGGTGCCTTAAGGAAATAGATCATTATTTTTAGCACATGTGTCCTTGACTAATAAACATTAAATAAAATCATTTGAAATATTAACCTAAAATCAGTTGGTTTGCTGATTGATGCCTTGTCTATTTTACCCTTCTTGCCATTTTTCTTGGTACCAAATAAAACCCCGCAACCATCCGTTCCAAGTGGAAAGAAAACTGTACAGACACCTCCGGTTCAAGTTACACCTCCA